GAAAGGGAGAGAAAGAAAGGGAAAGAGAGAAAGAAAGGGAGAGAGAGATAGAAAGGGCGAGAGAGAAAGAAAGGGAAAGAGAGAAAGAAAGGGCGAGAGAGAAAGAAAGGGAAAGGGAGAAAGAAAGGGAGAGAAAGAAAAAGAGAGAGATAGAAAGTGCGAAAGAGAAAGAAATGGAAAGAGAGTAAGAAAGGGTGAGAGGGAAAGAGAGGACAACAGAGAAAGAAAGAGAGAGAGAGAGAGAGATAGAAAGGGCGAGAGAGAAATAGTGGGTGAGTGAGAAAGAAAAGGAGAGAAAGAAAGAGATAAAGAAAGGGTGAAAGAGAAAGAAAGGGAAAGAGAGATAGAAAGGGTGAGAGAGAAGCAGAGAGAAAATGGAAGATAAAGGTAAGTAGAAAGTATGTATATATATATATATTGCGTAAATATGTGTATATATGGTTTGCGTCCATGTATGTGTGCATATGTGTGAGTGGATATGTGTGTGAATGTTGCTTCGGGTATATTTTCTTATGCATATGTGTGTTGCGCATGTTTCTATGTGTTCGTATATGCGTGTGCATATGTCTATTTTGGCGTGTATATTTGTGTTGTGCGTATGCGCGTATTGTGTGTATGTACCTGTATTTCGTGTGTGTGTGTGTGTGTGTGTGTGTATACTGATGTTGCGTATCTATGTGTGTTGCGCATGCGCATTTAAACCTCTATAAATTTGCTCTTACCACTGGATCGGTTTTTACATGCACATCACAACACACATACATACACAACATCAGTATACATATGTACACACACGAAATACAAGCACATACACCCAAAACGCACACAACAAACACATTTTCTGTAACACAACTTAGACAAGAGTACGGATAATTTTTGACTTTTTTTCTAAATATATATTTCCATATCATTCTAAATCTATGTATGATATATATGTGTGTGTTTATGTATATATATATGTGTGTGCGTGTGTTTGTACATGAGTGTTCGTGTGTATGTGTGTATATGTGCGTATATAGTGGGTGTGTAGACGTGTGCAGGGTGGCAATGCGTCTATCAGTGAGACAAGATTAAGACCCTGGAGGTCAAAGTTGAAAAATTCGAGCTGGGAATATTATTCGGCGATGTTATTTTATATTAGGAGAGTTAAAAATGGCCCGGAAATAAAGAACTAATTTAAAATAGAAAGAAAGAAAGAAAGAAAGAAAGAAAGAAAGAAAGAAATATATGAGGAAAGAAAGAAAGAAAGAAAGAAAGAAAGAAAGAAAGAAAGAAAGAAAGAAAGAAAGATATAAGGAAAGAAAGAAGAAAAAAAGAACTTAAGAAAGAACGAAAGAAAGAAAGAAAGAAAGAAAAAAGAACGAAAGAAAGAAAGAAAGATATAAGGAAAGAAAGAAGTAGCGAAAGAAAGAAAGAAAGAAAGAAATAGAAAGAAAAGAAAGAAAGAAAGAAAGAAAGAAAGAAAGAAAAAAGAAAAAAGATATAAGGAAAGAAAGAACGAACGAAAGAAAGAAAGATGGAGTATTGCTGTCATATATGGCCTGGAGCTCCTTCTGTTTGCCTCGGGGTTCTTGATAAGCTCCAGAGGCGGATATGCAATATAATTGACCCTGTTCTGGCATCTCGTCTACAGTCGCTCTCTCACAGACGTACCGTCGCCTCTCTCTGTCTTTTTTTACAAATACTTTCACGGTAATTGTTCCGAGGAGCTGCATTCGCTGGTTCCCAGACTTCATGAATTTAAGCGCCCCACGAGGCTGGCATCCCGCTCTCACCCTTTCACTGTTGAAACTGTTAAATGTAGCCGTCTCTTCTACTCCAATAGCTTCATATCTCGCACCTCTCGCCTGTGGAACTCACTTCCCTATTCCTGTTTCCCTGAGAGCTATAATCTCCAGTTATTCAAATGTAATGTCAATCGATCTATCCACTATCCTTCTCCTCATCCTTTCTTCAATCACTCCTATCTGATCTTGACCCAAATCTTCTGTAACCCCTTGCGTCCTAGTGGCTTCCCACCTTGCTTGGGGTGAAACGCTTAAAAAAAAAAAAATAAAGACAAGAAAGAACATAAGAAAGAAATTTCGGACAATTTCTGACGGACTTTCCTCTTTGCTTGAGAAGGTTCATTCCTAATTTGCAAAAGTTGATCAGTAAAATTAATCGACACAAAATATCTGTTGTCTTTAATAATATTTGTCTTAAGTGACTTTATTAATCTTTATTAATCCGATAGACTTCATAAATTAAACTTTATTTTTAGTGGATGCCCATATTTGAGTAGACGCCCTGTTTATTTATTAAACAGTATATTTATGTATTTTCGTCTACCGGCCTGAATATTCAAAAAAAAAAAAAAAAAAAAAAACTTACTAAAGAAAAATATCCGCTGTCCGGTAGGATTCGAATCTGCGTCCCTACCTGACAGTTTCCCCTGAAAACCAATGTGAAATATTCCATATATTTATTTATCTTTTCAATTATTTTGCCCAAAACAAGACGGTAAAGCCACTTAGACGTGAGGAATACCTGAGGATGAAAGACGATAGAATTAAAGAAATGGAGAAAAACATTTACTGAGAAGAAAGGACAATAAAATAAACATGATTCAAGAAGACAGACGACGTTTGACGTTACATTTAAATTTTTTGAAGATTGAACTTGACAGAAGACCAAGAAGCTGGAAGCGAGTTTCAAAAGCGAGACGTGCGAGAGAAGAAACTATTAGAATAGAACTTACGGTCGTCGTCGTCGGCAGCATCCGTCCCTCCATCTCGGGAGACGATAGAGTAGCGCACGGAGGTGACCCCAGGCGCCCGTATCCTACGCCAATCGGGTTGGGCTTTCGACCGCTAACTGTCACTTCCCGTGTTGTGCGGATGTCTTGCGACGTCGCTGGAGTGCCCTCCCCAGTGCGCTACGAGCCTGGGCGGGATGTATAGAGAACAAGGGCTGCACGGACGTCTAGTTCCCACTCTCGGCCCAGTAGAGTCCAAAGGAAAGGATGAACTAATACAGTTTGCTACAAAGTGCCGTCTAACCGCCTTAGGGGATCCACTGCGGATTTGTATAGGGTTTACTCCTTTGTCTTTCCTTCTCCGGAAGATTTCCACAATTTAGTGGAGCTATTTAACCCATATGTGGGATTTGGTTCATAGGCACCAGGGCATGTACATACACCGGTGGGCCTGCATGCCGTATGTTAAGGGGGCCAAACTGTAGTCTAGCCCGAGTCCGCAAGGTGCTCGGTTGCCATGTGTCGCCACGAGGAGGCACTAGATAGAGCTTGCTGATGGAGTAACTATATACTGGCAGGGGAAGACTTACGCACTCGGCTCCCCTTTCCGCATTGCTGCTAGCCACCGGCGGTAACTGAACGCGAGAAGCGACAAGCACTACCCCTACAGACGACCACACTAGACGCATCACAACAGCCGTTGAGACACATAAAACTTACGGTAACATTTATTAGGTTGGTGCAAAAATAATGACGTAATAATATCGTTTTTTGACGTTAAAAAATACGTCAAAAAACGACATTATTACGTCATTATTTTTGCACCAACCTAATAGCAATTTCAGCAATGAAATGATGAGAACTAAGCTGGTAATCTGATAGTACACACAAAGTCGTGTAATTGCCATTGCCGTCTTTCCAGCTTATAGGAAGCTTTTCAATGCCACTTCCGTAAAATGTCACGCCTTTAGCATTCAAAAAGACATCCATGATATATAATAATTTTGCAATTGGAGGAACAAAAGAATCGGTTGGCAAGTGAGAAGCTTTCTCATTTTAGTTGAAGAACGATTGTTGTAGTTTCGTAAAACAGTTCTAGTTGAACTAATCCTCTGCCTCCTTCGAATATTGACACATACAGACGATCAACATCAGCTTTAGGATGTTCCATATGATGGCAAGTGAGAAGCTTTCTCATTTTGACTTCAATTCGCTATGCTACAGGTGTATTAAGGTTTATTTGTACTTCATCACCCACTTGAAATTCCCTTTTGAATTTCTTGACTTCCTTTATTACGGAATAACGTTTCTTATTTCTTTCCTGTTCTTAGATACAGCTAATCACCCAGTCTTCTGCAGGTTCTAAATATCGTTGAAGATCGATTGTTGTAGTTTTGTAAGACAGTTCTAGTTGAACTAATCCTCTGCCTCTTTCGGATCTTGACACATACAGATGATCAATATCAGCCTTGGGATGGTGCATATGAGGGCAAGTGAGAAGCTTTCTCATTTTGACATCGATTCTCTATGGCCCAATTAAGGATGTTGAACCTGTACTGCACCCCAGGGACAGCCAAATTATTAACAGCTGATATCCTATTTTGTGAATTCAACTCGGTATTTAACACCAGACGCACACGCTTGTAATATTCTCTGGGTGTGATGTATCCCATCTTCTTCGCTGACCCCAAGGTATTTATCGGCTTCTTCTTGTACCAGATTCCTCGTGAAAAAATCGATATCTATTGAATGTGTTTTGATAATTCTTCTTTTCTTGAATAATACTTTTGCGGATTTAGCTAATCCAAAGTCCATATCGATGTCATCATTGCAAACATTTTACAGTACTGAGGAAAACTTACATCTCATTATCGTCTGGCAAAACATTTTTTTTTTTATTAACAGACCACGGCATCTGTCAGAGAGATGAAATTTAAATTTTTATTATTGCATTATTCCAAAATTTTTACACATCAGCAGATAGCTATTTATATCAACAACTGAACACAAATAGTTATAAATTAAAAAAAAAAATTAGTAATTAACGTATAATATAGGGTGTTCCAATAACTTGGACTGATTTTAAATGTGAATTAAGTTTAAGCATCTAATTTTTTTTTCTTTTAGATTTAACAACTTAAGTGTTTGGCAATTTCAACCATGGAAAGATTAACAATCAAACAACGTGTTAAAGTTATCGAAACCAATTACGAAAATAGAATTCTACTTAGTAATTTTCATTTTAAAGCACTTCCAACATGGGATGAGTAATATCAAAGCTGTGAGTACTCTGACCAACAGTTAAAAGAATGTGTTCTGCTCATGATTTTAATAATAATGATGGCATTATCAAAATTAAGTCTTTTGTACCAAAAAATGATTTGAACAAAGTGAGGTAACAGTTCTATAAATTTATATTTTCCTGCTTGCAAAGGCTAAAGTGAATTGTATATCATAAAAGTTTGGAAAGTACCTCTATCTATAAAAGGCAGGATGTGTGTGTGTGTGTGTGTGTGTGTGTGTGTGTGTGTGTGTGTGTGTGTGTGTGTGTGTGTGTGTAACGAATGCACGGTCGCAATTTTCGACGGATTTGCACCAAAATTTACATGCACATGGTCCAGAGATTAGTGGGAAGGCCAAGACCGACTTTGCATTTCCCAACTCCCCATCGATAGTGGAAATAATCGATTTTTTTCATGCTTCTACGGCAGTTTTCATGTGGTTGCGGCCATTTTCTACTGGCCAGGTGAGAGCCTATAGCTGGCTTCCACGAATAGGCAGGAAGATTCTATTGGCCAGCGTGAGAGCCAACAGCTGACTGGCACGAATGTTAACTAGCATGGAAAAAAAAATCGATAGCTGCATTCGTGACAAGTGGGAAAAATTTAAATCTGCATGGCACTTTACTCCAATTGGCTCATTCGCTTGCTTAAACTCAACGTTGATTCTGATTCCGCAGAACTGGGTTGGGTGTGAAAAAGTATTTGTTGTTAACATTCTTTTTTCATTCGGTTTTTTCCAGTTACGAGTCCTTTTTTAAAGCTAATCGTTTTGTGTTCATTTTGTTTAGTTCTTTTTTCGTAACAGATTTAATGTTTAGTATAGAGCTTCGAAAAAATTGGCAGTGTGAGATAGACAAGAAGTAAGGCATGTAGCAACATCAGCACGGCAAAGGGCACTCCTTTAAAGGCAAGGAAGGGCAAAAATATTTTAAGTCAAGTGATAGCGATTGCTGTATGAGTCGTACGATTTTTGAATCAAGCATGGGCAACGCCGGGCCATGCTGCTAGTGAAATATAAAAAATAAATTATGAAAACAAATACAGATGTTAAACATTTAGATGTAAACTGGTTTGTACACAAGGGTTGATGAAACGTTGTCTAACTTACTTACCAAATAACCTGACATCAGATATTTTTTGTTGAAAGGCTTTCTTGGGATAAGAACCTTTTATTGTTAAATGACTAACTATTGAGAAATTGTAAAGCTATGAAATAAATCTTGTCAATTTTTATAGATCACGACATCTATCAGAGAGATGAAATTTAAATTTTTATTATTGCATTATTCCAAAATTTTAACACATCAGCTGATAGCTATTAATGTCAACAACTGAACACAAATAGTTATTAATTAAAAAAATTAGTAATTAATGTATAATATTATCCATAACTAAATGTACAAGAATGTCGTTTTTGATAAAAGTTAAAAAATAACCATAAATGCGTTAAAAATTCCTATATTGTCGAAAATTCCCTTTTCTACAATATGTGTTATGTTATAATGCTTATTACCTAAACAATAATAATATTGAATAATTTTTTAAACATTAAAGTATATTTAATCCGATCTCGCTAATAACTATCGCTATATCTAAACATTATCTTTTTTTTAATTTGTATCCATAATTATTACTGCATAATTTATGCGAAAGTGGAGTGAGGGAGAGAAGAAATAGAAGGACTGACAGAATGCCATTGAAAAATTCATCGTCGGATAATGAAACAATTGTAAGTGGTGGTACCTTTGGTGTAATTTAGGTATAATGTGGGTTTCCACAGTTGCATGTAATATTGAAGGAAATTTACTATCACGGAGAAGACTTTTTACATTGTCAAAGCCTATCTATCTATCTATCTATCTATCTATCTATCTATCTATCTATCTATCTATCTATCTATCTTTTTCACGCCTTCTGTTTGTATCTATCTATCTATCCATCCCAGTCTGCATTTCTATCTATCTATCTATCTATCTATCTATCTATCTATCTATCTATCTATCTATCTATCTATCTTTTAATGCCTTCTGTTTGTATCTATCTATCTATCCATCCCAGTCTGCATTTCTATCTATCTATCTATCTATCTATCTATCTATCTATCTATCTATCTATCTATCTATCTATCTATCACAGTCGGCATTTCTATATGTCTATCTTAGTCTGGTCATATCTATCTATCTATCTATCTATCTATCTATCTATCTATCTATCTATCTATCCCTAAGACCGTCTGTTCATATCTATCTATCTATTTATCTATCTATTTATCTATCTATCTCATGCCTTCTGTTTCTATCTATCTATCTATCTATCTATCTATCTATCTATCTATCTATTCCAGTCTGCATTTCTATATATCTATCTTAATCTGGTCATATCTATCTATCTATCTATCTATCTATCTATCTATCTATCTCATCTATCTATTTCATCTATCTATCTTCTTCTATCTATCTATCTATCTATCTATCTATCTATCTATCTATCTATCTATCTATTCCAGTCTGCATTTCTATATATCTATCTTAATCTGGTCATATTATCTATCTATCTATCTATCTATCTATCTATCTATCTATCTATCTATCTATCTATCACGCCTTCTGTTTCTATCTATCTATCTATCTATCTATCTATCTATCTATCTATCTATCTATTCCAGTCTGTATTTCTATATATCTATCTTAGTCTGGTCATATCTATCTATCTCCTAAGTCCGTCTGTTCATATCTATCTATCTATCTATCTATCTATCTCATGCCTTCTGTTTCTATCTATCTATCTATCTATCTATCTATCTATCTATCTATCTATCTATCTATCCCAGTCTGCATTTCTATCTATCTATCTATCTATCTATCTATCTATCTATCTATCTATCTATCTATCTATCTATCTATCTCATGCCTTTTTATCATTTCTTATCTATCTATCTATCTATCTATCTATCTATCTATCTATCTATCTATCTATCTATTCCAGTCTGCATTTCTATATATCTATCTTAATCTGGTCATATCTATCTATCTATCTATCTATCTATCTATCTATCTATCTATCTATCTATCTATCTATCTATCTCCTAAGTCCGTCTGTTCATATCTATCTATCTATCTATTTTGGGATGTTCGGGTAGTATAAACGTCAGCTACACGGAAAGATGAATCGCCCCTCCGAGTTTGTATGCTTCACCTCCGCACAAAGTCTGCCTTCTCATCCCAGCTATAGGTTAAATAGCAGGGTAGACTGGGCTCTCCAGCCTTTGTCGGGAACCATTCTAGAGATTGTGACACGTTAAGAACGCCCATCCGTCATCACTGTACCCATTCGCGGAGATTTGTTGGCCCGATGAAAAAAAGAGCATAATTCCTATGTCATTTTTACTCTCGGAGGCGGCGACGGTCTCTACTTCCCCTCACTCCCTCACTCACTCACTCACTCACACACTCACTCACTCACTCACTCACTCACTCTCGCTATCTCACGCCTCCCTCTCCCTCTCTCTTTTCTCAATCTCTCTTTTTATTTTTCTCTCTTTCTTTCACTTAAAGTCTCTCTCAATCTTATTCACTCTCTCTTTCACACTCTCTTTTTATATCTCTAACTCATTCTCTCCCTCACTCTCATTCTCTCGCTCACACTCTTTCTTTAACTCTTACTCTCTCTTTCTCTCTTCGTTTGTCTCTCTCATTCTTATTTTGACGTTCTTTCGCTTTCTCACTCTGTTTTTTTTCTCTCTTTCTCTCTCCCACTCACTCTTTCTTTTTCTCTTTCTCACACTGTCTTTCCTTTCTTTCTCACTCACTCACTCACTCATTCAGTCTTTCTCTTTCACACTCTTTCACTCCCTTTCTCTCTCACTCTCTCTCTCTCTCTGACCCTTTCATTCTCCCTTTCTTTCTTACACTCTTTCTTTCTCTTACTCACTTACTCACTCACTCTCTCTTTTTCTCTCGCACTCTTTCTGTCTCTCTCACTCTCTTGCTATCTGTCGATATACGAGGATATACTGAAAATATCTCGCTATATAAGAATACCTACTATGGTTTGAACCTTTCCAGCACCCCCCCTCTTATCTCAGTCTGTTCATATCTACCATTATATACTAAAAACATCTTTTTTCCCGTTACTATTTTACTTTGATACACATCAACGGGTTTTCTTTGTTTTTTGGTTTTTTTTAGTTTTTTTGACAGAAAAAAGAAATACTTGTATTTCCCGAATCTATTCATCGTTTTTCGACCATAGAGGCCCGATGTCAAGTTCCGCGCAGGGCATTTCTCTTCGGGGTCGGGCCGGGGGTGGGGTGGTGTTGTTGTGGGCTTTATGGCAGTTTTATGAGTTTGCCACGAGGAGGAGAATTTGCACTGTCTTAAGAGCAAACCGTCAACAGTTGCGGTCAGTCAGGTCGGATTATGATCGGGTGTTAGGGAAAGTGTGTGGGCAGAGGCAGTTAAATAAAAGGGTAGAAGGGTGTGGCATGTCTTGCTGAGGGTAGCAAGTCAATTTGAAAAAAAAATGAATTGCCTAATGATAAAAAGGAAATCAGAAGAATCGGTAAAAGGATTCCCCGCTTTTCTTCTCACATTCTTTCTTTCTTTCTTTCTTTCTTTCTTTCTTTCTTTTACCTTTTTAGAAGTTCCTTACTCTCTTCAATTTCATTTCTTTCTTTCTTTCTTTCTTTCTTTCTTTTACCTTTTTAGAAGTTCCTTACTCTCTTCAATTTCATTTCTTTCTTTCTTTCTTTCTTTCTTTCTTTCTTTCTTTCTTTTACCTTTTTAGAAGTTCCTTACTCTCTTCAATTTCATTTCTTTCTTTCTTTCTTTCTTTCTTTCTTTCTTTCTTTGACGCTGATGATATTTTATCGGTCACAATTTGTTTATATCTATCTATCTATTCCAATCTATCACATTGTTTATATCTATCTATCTATCTATCACATTGTTCATATCTATCTATCTATCTATCTATCTATCTATCTATCTATCTATCTATCTATCTATCTATCTATCACATTGTTCATATCTATCTATCTATCTATCTATCACATTGTTCATATCTATCTATCTATCTATCTATCTATCTATCTATCTATCTATCTATCTATCTATGGGAGGAGGCACAGTGGAGTAATGGATAGCGGCTTGGTTTGAGGAATCGGAGAGCCGAGTTCGAATTCCAGTTGAATCCATTACATTCACTTACGTGCACCCCACCTAATACCCTTGGTGTGAATCCTCTTTCTTCTCCCTCCAGCTATGGGTAAATAGCAGGACAGAGTGAGTTCTATGGCCTTGGATGGCAACTGGTCTAGGAGAAAGAAAACTCTGAATTCAAACCTGTTCTTAGAGGAGGGTGAATGGAGTCTCTCTGAGCCTTGGTTGGCAATCCATTTAGTGTTGGTGTCACGATAAAAAACACCCTTGATAGCCCTAGCGAAGCATCAAGAATTCAGCTATTTGACAAGATTATGAACTACACCAATCAAAGTATTGGTGAGTTCAATCTCGGCTGAAGCCGCAAGATGATGATCTATCTATCTATCTATTCCAATCTATCACATTGTTCATATCTATCTATATATCTCTCACTCTATCTATCTATCACAGTCAGTTCATATCTATCCCATTCTGGTCTCTGGGGGGGGGGGCACAAACACCACCACTGAAAATTTGATTCCCTTTATCTTAAATTAAATTTAAATTTGAATGACTCCTATTCAAAATATAGAAGGAGAAAGCCGGAAGATGGAGGTCACATTGGCAAAATGAAATAATATGGACGTATTATTGAGCAAAAAATTATTAATCAATAGATATTTGTTGCGACAATTCAACTGTCATATCAATGCTGAAATCTGCTGATCTGTTCATTCAAGTATTGCATCAGATATATATCAAAGGGGTCAGATCAAGCTGTTTTTGCACAACTCTTCCACTGAAAATGTTTCCATTTCATTTAAGTTAAATTTGAACAAGGGAATGACTCCTAAGGTACTTATACTTGGATAAGTATATTTCATTTTGATCAAAAGGGGTCCTGGGAGCCTCTCAACTCAAATTTTTTTTTCCTTTTGATTTAAACTAAATTTAAATTTGAATAAGACAATAATTCCTATCCAAAATATAGGAGAAATCCAGAAGATGGAGGTCACATCGGCAAGATCAACACGATTACAATATGGACGTCAAGTTGAGCAAGAAATCACCAATCAGTGGGTAGTGTCTGACAATACATATTTGTCGCAACAATTCAACTGTTATATCAATGTTGAAATCTGCTCATCAATTCATTCAATCAAGTATTGCATCAAATACATATCAAAGGGATAAGATCAAGCTGTTTTTGTATCCCGCTAACACTGAAAATTTTTTCCCCTTGGATTTAAATTTGAACAAGGAAATGACTCCTATCCAAAATACAGAGGGAGAAAGCCAGAAGATGGAGGTCACATTGGCAAGATCATTGAGTAATATTGAAATGCATCATTTTTCTCCATAAATTATAACAATGATTTAAAATCAATCATCATTTTCTTACAAAAAAAATGCCTGACTCGCAGTAAGGCGCTGGTAATCCGGCTAGTACATATATATGAAACTCGGGTTCAAACCTTCAGCATGGTCGATTTTATCAAGAAAGTTGGGGTTTTTGATGTTATCTTTCTGGGGGAGGCGACCCCAGTGTGCACTACCTTAAAAAAGTGTCTGAAAACCATGACACCGGTTGACCAAAGGCTTTTCAGTGAAATTGCGTAGGAGGAACTATTTGGGAGGTCTCGATGGTTGAGCTAGCATGAAGTCAGAAGTCATAGTGACTGAGGGTTTAAGTGTACTCGCCTTGATCAGACTGTTGATCACACCTGATAGTGCGTACTCCCCACAAAAAAACTCTAATTAAGGTCAGCTTAGCATAGTTTCGGTATAAACAACAGGTGGGCTCTGTTGGTGTTCAAATGTGCCTGAGCAGTCGTCTGCAACAGGGATTGGCTAGCCGTCCTAGCAGACACACCTACGAGTAGCCAGCAATTACACAGACACACACACACATATATATATGTGTGTGTGTGTGTCCGCGTGTGTGCATAATGTATAAAATTATCCGAAAAAAAGGAAGATGATGTAATCTGAGGAAGCCAAAAAGGGCAGACGCTCACGGCGAAGCGCGTCGTTAATGAAGTTTCAATTTTGTCCCATCATCTTCATATATATATATATATATATATATATATATATATATATATATATATATATGAATTAATATTAATTATATTACAAACTGACATCAATCCAACCAAATATGTTAGCTCTATCTCTGATATTGAGCGCTTTCTAATAAGTACCGCGCATATAATATATAAATAATAATAATATATATATATATATATTTATATTTATAGATACACACTTTCACATATATGAATTAAAATATATATATATAAATATATATATATAT